TAAAAATTATTTAAACCTGACAAGATTTTTTTAATAAAATTTTAAGTATTTTTATTGGCAAAATTATATACAAAGTACTTTAAATAACAAAAACCTTTACACAATACTTGTGATTAGAATTAAATATTAAATCATTAAGTTTTTATAAAATATACTCAAACCTAAGTACTATTTTATAGTATATTTGAAATACTTTAGTATATCTTACATTTTTATCAGATTCATAATTTAGATAACATAATAGAACTATAATTAGTTTATTAGTATATGTATCAGATTAGTTCAATATTTTTTTTTTTAATATATTTTGATAGTTTGGTTGATGGTATTCCTTACTTAGAAATTCATGTTTATCTGGTTTCTTTATATTGGTATCTATTTTATAAAGTTAGTCTTTATAATAGTATTATTAAAGATTTATATTAATTTTTTGTTTAAATTTTTCTAAATAGATTTCTTATTTTTTAATTTTAATAAATTTATACAGTCACATAAATTATCTAAAGTTTGTATTATCTAATAATAATTTGTATTTCTTTATATAACTAGGTATACAAATATCTTACAATCTGTCAGTTATACTAATATAACTATTATTAGAGGGCTTTCAGAAATCAGCTGATTTCTGAGTAGGTGGATGGGTTGACCAAAATATCAGGTGTAATTCAGGCTAAAATTATAAGGCCATGATCAGAATTATTATTATATATTTGAGTTATATAGATCTTATATAGTTGAACTTTTTGTTAATAAATTGTTCATATGCATAAATAATACTACATGCATAAATAATACTACATATTAATTTAACTCTAGTACTAGTAATCAAATGTAGGATTTATGCAGCAAGGTATTGTTCAGATTTAAATCTAAAGCTAGTAACAAATTTCAAACTATGTCAGAGTTCATAGAAAGACATTCGTTATCAATTAAAATATGACTATCAATCAATTAATCTTAAAATTTGCAAGTAAACTTTATTATTAATAAAGCTTTATATTTAATTTTATATTTAAAACATAATTCTATTTTATTTTTAGTCATCACAAACTCTACTAGATATGTGCTATAACTCTTAGTTTATATAATTAATAAGCACAATGCAACTTGTATATACTATATTGATCTGCTACTAAAGAGACTGATTAAGACATTTACATATAAGTTTTACTCTTAAACAATATAACATAAAAATCTTGTCTGTGTATTACTTTAATAATAATATTTTATGTATTATAAAATTAAATTGTTGGATAAACAGTTATAATTGTGGTTTGGGTTACTTTAGTTGACTATTTTCAACATTTAAATCTTATACATAGTTAGTATAGTAATAAATAACAGAATGCTTGCTTCTAAGTGAATAGTACCTCAGAGGTAATGTGTGAGAAGTGAAGTACTATGCAAGGTATCTCTTATGAAATCTAATAATATGATACAGAGTACTTTCAAAAAATGCTAACATTCATATATTCTAAGACTATAAAAGGAGATACTTTACTAGGATATAGTAGGCAGCACAATATAGTACTGTACTATTCAAGTAAATTTTGTAAGCAGTTTAATTTTTTTTTTTAACTCAATCTATTTAGTATATCTATTTTCTGCTCAAGGATAGTTTTGATATTGTTGCAGGTTAATTAGTAACTCAGATTATTAAATAACCTAGCTTCCTCAGTAAGTACCATGTTGAAACTTCTCTTATGACTTTTTTGGAGTAGTTCCAAGATATATACTTTACATATTTTATTACTAATGGCATATATTTGAAAATAAATCACTAACTAATTCTTTATTTTTCACTTAGCCTATAAATACCCTTTTAACTAACATTTATTATATCATAATTAGGTTATACTATTTTAACTTTTAAATTAACTACTTACAAATTTTATGCAAATTAACTACTATTGTACTCCAACACAATACTGATTCCTACTCAATTAATTAATTATGCTATTTTTCCATTATGCATGCAATCTTTGATCCTGATTGTAATCATCATGTAGTCACATGAACATAACATTCAACAAACATTCAATATCACCTTTTTCTAAGCTAAGTATATTTATAAGTTTTTTTTTTTTTTTTTTTTTTTTTTTTTTTTTACTAACCTAATTAATTATCTACTCCTCTAGCATTCTAGATTCATTCCCCTTACAAGATACACCACATACTGTTCTTCATTATGACAATATCCTTTTATAATTCATAAGTTTTAATGATTAAATACAAACATTAAATTTTTATATATTATTTTGATAGTACAGAATTTACATAATCATCACATTATATTATTCACTATTAGAAAAATATAGAATAAAAATATCTAACATTTCTACTTCATTTGAAAAAGAGCTAGAAATACAATTATCTGTTGCTGCATAAGCCATGGACTTTTTGTGTTTATGAATAAGAGAAAAGTGTTTAAACTTTTTATACTGAGAAAGAAAGACCATGGTGGGAAAATACCGATAACAGGTAGTGCAGACTAATTTTGAATAGAGTTTAAAAGAAATCAAGAGACAATGTTAATTGAAGCCTGAAATTTTAAATTTGTTTATATACTGAAGTATGTAAATAGAATTAAGAAAATAACCATCTTGGCCTTTGATAGATGGTGGCAAAAATTCATTGTATTCAGCTAACAAAGTGGCTGCTTCTTCAGCTCTTCATGTAGAACAACAATTGACATTATTACATTTTTGAATGTCCAAAGAGTACTAACATATTTAGCAATAGTTTTCTATTCAACCTCAAAATATATCTGAAACTTTATTAAAATTGTCAATTTGCTCATCAACATATTTAACAATTACTTCTTTATTATGAATATAGTCTCATTGCCAAATATCACATAGCTTTTTACCAACATAATGAAAATTTTGCTTTGCAAGGTCTATATTCTTAATAATGCTATTAGAATCAAGATGTGAGCCAAAATGATCAATAGGTAGAACAATATCTGCCAACTTTCCTAAAAGAGTAAACATGCTATGCTCTACAAGATTGTAGACAAATTGTCTAGAGGCATGGGTTCTGATAGTTAAGTAATCCAAATTTAATTCTATAAATAATTTACAGTATTCTTTTATATTTTTGAAGTGCCTGGAGTTCTCGTTGGGACCACCATCAACAAGCAAAACCAGAATTGGTTTAAATTCATTTTCCAATTTTAGCATATTATTTAAAACAGGATTTTCTATTATAACCATTATGTCAACTATATGTGTTAAAAAAGAAGTCTTGATCAACTATTGTGAGCAAATAAAAATTGTTAATTGACTATTACATAATGAGTCATTTGAATCTTCTGAGTCAATCATAAGATAAACTGAAGGTATTAGTTTTTGTTTACTTCCTTGGGAAAAGTCATGATCTTCTAATTAATAATAATAATAATTAATACCAAGCCTAAATAATTTATATACAGTAAACCTTCTATAAGTGCAGGCACTTGAGACAAATTTTTAATAATGTGCACTTAGAGAACAATAAGAAAAGTGCATTTACAGAGGTTATATATATATATATATATATATATATTTGGATCTGAATTTAAATATATATTTAGAGAAGATATGCACTTATAAAGATTTTAACATATTTGCTTATATATAATTACCAGGCATTACAACTAGTTTATGAGAAGATTGTACAGTTTTAAATGTCCTTCCAACTGCTGATATTCCAAATGGAACTTTTGCCTTATTATCTTGTGATATAATTACAGAATAAGAGGTAAAAGCACTGGCAAATTGTTTTGCATTCAGGCATTTCATTTCTAAATACTAAGTTTACCTAAATAGCCATAGAGTAGTGGTGTCTTTTGGCATTCAAAGAATTAATTCTTCTGGGCCAAGTATATGTATATAAACAGGTGTGTGACATGTAAATTTGATATTTTTCTTTCATTTCTTTTTTTAAATAAGAAATGGTGCATACTTTAATAATTTCTTTTCATCTTTTTTTGGCAGCAGTACTGAACTCGATACATAAATGCATCTGCTTAGGAAGATCAGGATTTAGAAAAAGAAAAGAGAAACACCCAGGTGAATCATATCTAATAACTTCTCTTTGGTTTCTAAAGCCTCACATTTTTTTGCTTGACTTTTGGCTTGTGTAGCAGCATGTTTCTTTAATTTTTGTCTTTTTTTTTTTTAGCTTTAATTTCTTGTTTAGTTTTATTAATTTGAACTAAAAAATTGTGACATTATTTAGGATCATGCGCAATATTATACAACTTATTTAATTTATTAAGCTGTTTTTCAGCATATTCTTGTTTAGCTAAAGAATTTTTTTGAGCAGTCACATTATAGTGCAGTTTTTCAGATTCTATTGTAAAGAATAAGAATGTGGATAGTATAGATATAGAAGAACTAATTTTATTTGATATAACTGAAGTAGGCATGAAAGAAGTATATTAAATAGGTCTTAAAGGTGTTTGTAAATAATTATTTATTTTATTTTGTATAGTTTCTTCATCCAAATTTCATATAGTCTTCTACTCTTCTTAAGCTTTTATAAAAATAACTTGTTTTTTAGAAGACAGAGTTTCTATAAAAATAGCCAAATAATATGCATATGCATTGCAAAAGTTTTCATATAGGTTTGAGGGATTTTTGAATATTAATTTTTTATTGAATTTTGGACTACCTAAAAACATTTGCATTTTTTTTTTAATTTTTTTTAATGTGCTTTAGAGGTTATATAATTACTCAAATTGCTTATAATTATTAAATATCAGAATGACAAGAAAGTTGCACAACAAATCCTCTAAACATAGGCATACCCACATGATGCAAATTTCTTTACATATAGAAAATTAAATATCACAATTAATGCACATTACATTTGTATATAACAAGTATTCAAGAAGGATATTTAAACCTTTTAGCATGAAGAGTACTTTAATTTACAAAATATGAGTATATGTTTTATACATGTATATGTGTGCCTACTTATTGCTATTGCTATGTTGAGTTTTTCATGAATTGGATATTTTATAACTGATTATATCTTTGATTGATTATACCTTTTATTGATGCAGTTGAACTTTTTTTGATACATAAAGACAAACTTATCTTATGATTATGCATTTTTGTGAGAACCTTGTATGATTTTGTTGCAAAAAAGGCTGATAATACAGATAAGTTTTGAGGACTATCATATTATTTTTATGGATATCTAAGGTATACTGATCAATATAGTTTAATTGACTAGATCTGTATAGTAAAGGCCGATTTAAAAAAATTATACTATACTGATCCCACCTTATAATATTAGGATTATGAATTCTATTTTAGCTGATTAGTATAGTATAGTTTTAAAATCGATATGTACTATACAGAATATTATTACTGTTCATAGAACATACAATCTTTTTACAGCAAAACTCAAGAACCAATCAACTATATGTATGAAATAAATATGGCACAGAATGAAACAAGCATGGCATATATGATAGTGCAGAGAATTGTGAAAACAATTCTCTTACATCACTAGACAATACCTCTTATAATTTGGGCTCTAGCTATCAATACAAAAATTTGGATTACAATGCAGTTACAACATAATTGCTAAATCTAGTAAAAACTTTTGGAATTCCAAACTGTCAGGTTTAGTTTACATTGCTAGTTGAAATGCTAATTATAATAATTTAGAATCTATGAATTATATCAAGAATAATCAGAAAACAGAATACATAACTTTTTAGTATATGTTATTTTATTAAATTGTTAAAAGGGCAAAAACAAACTTAACAGCTTATAAAACTGAATTATTGATAATTTTACATTTCGATTCTGCCAAACAGGAATTATATCAACTATATTATTAAGCTATACATTTTAAATGCACATTGATATCTAAACCAATTTTTTTCATATAACTTAAATAGCATATGAATATATGCTAGATTATGATGCAAAAATATGTACTTCTTTAAAAGTATTCAAACTAGCAAAATTTTATGATTTAAATGCAATGCATTTATAAATTAGACCTTGTTGTGTATTATAAATATAAAAGCTTCTCTAATAATACTTCAGATTAACAAACCTTATCATTACAAATTTAGTATTTAAATATTCAATTTACTAAAGTATTTACAATTAAATAGCATTATGCATAAATAATAGCTGCAGGGATTATGTAAAAATATATGCGAATTTGAATATATAATATTTATATTTAGTATCTTGATTGATATACATATACAGTATATGCATATGGTCAATTATAAGTATGAAATGAATAGGTGCCCTAATTTCTCTCATCATTTCACTATCGAAGAACTATAAAATTAATTAATAATACAAGCACTCTGATATGTGAATAATTAGTAGGACCAATTATAAGTAGTAAGAGAAATTAGTAAATTTGAAATAAATGCTACTAAAAAAAAAGTCATAAGAAGATATTTATCTGATTGGCTAAGTTTTATAGATCTATCTGTAATTTCCTATGATAATTAGCCAATAATATTACATAATTTAATCAAATAAATTCATAATACAGACAAAACTTTATACTATATAATAGCAAAACTTATATCTTATTCTTTATTAATTATTATTTATTAATTATATTTAATTACATAATCAAGTAGAAATCATATTTTAATTATTACTGTCTTTGTTAGAGACACCACTATCTTTAAAATATATTATCAATTAGACAATATCCTTTATTAAAAAAAAACATTAAAGAAAATTCCATTATTTATTTATATAAATTCTTAAATAATCTTATTTTTTTAGTTATTGCAATCATTGCACTACTATTTTTCATTTACAATATATTATTGATACATTTTTATCTATACTATTATAAAGCTATATTAAATCTACTAAATATTAAAGTAATATAAATAAGTAATAGAATTATTAAAAAAAGTAATTTAAACTTAAATACAATAAATTTTCTCAAATATAAATTTACTTTAAATGTCTGAATCGTTCTTTTTTTTTGACTATTTTTTTTTTTTTTTTTTTTTTTTTTTTGTATTCTCTTCATTTCT